TTTTCCCCCCCAAATATGTTTTTATTGATTTTAGAAAGAGGAGGGGAGAGAAAAACATCGATGAGAGAGAGCAACATTGATCGGCTGCCTCCTGCTCACGCCCTACTGGGGATTGAGCCCGAAACCTGGGCATGTACCCTGGCCAGGAATTGAACCCATGACCTCTTGGTACGTGGGTAAACATGCAACCACTGAGCAACAGCAGTCAGGCCAGGTCTTTTGTTTTGACCCCTTATATATGGGAAGGGAGAGATGGACCCAGAAACTGTTTGGTGTTCCTACATGCAACAGGGATGTCATGTTAAATATTAATAACCATGGCTGCCAATGATTAAGTAAGACAACTAAGTAGAACTAGGGACTTTTTACAGCTTGTTACCACGTCTTTGTTGGACGTGGTAACAATGCCTGAAGTCTAGGTGTCTTAGAAAGACATTTACATGGACAGTTTAAGTTGACCTTCCTGGAGTTGTGTAGGAAGACTTCTGTTACCAACAGCTAGAATGGCCCAGTGCAGGAATCCTGTTAGTACTGAGAGGAAGAAAGGTGGGCCTGGGAAGTTAGAAATGTACCACGTAGACAGAAAGATGGCAGGAAGAATGGAACATTCTGCATCTCCCATCCCCGCCTCATGGGTTGTGTGAGATGGCATGAGTAAGTACAAGTGCTTGGCACCCGGAACACAAGAAGTGCTCAATAAATGTTTGCCGTTATGATCATGTGTACACAGTGCCTGGTAACCAGTAGGTGCTCAATAAACCTTAATTCCCACAAAGACCAGTCTAACCTTTGTTTGGGGTTGAGAGGTGGGTTGCTGGCTGGGTGGCAGTCAGAAACAGGAGGTACTGAGACAAGAGGCAGTCAAGGCCAAGGCTGAGCCCCCACCTTCGCTCACCCCTTTTCTCATTTAATCTCCACAACAACCCCATAGGGCAGGTAGAGCGCTGTTGCCCATTGCCATTTTTCAGGAAGGAATACTGAGGCCCTGAGAAGCTCATCCCTCCCTTAGGGCTCTTCAACTGGGGGTCCCTGGATATCTCATATCTCCTCCCATTGGGGGTGGGAGTAGAGGAGGTGGGTGCTGGGAGTGGGACAGTCCCAAGGGCCCTCAGAGGGGCGGCTGCATTTGCTCATAGGAAGTCCGAGGCACCGGGGGCCTTCCAGGCCCGGGACGAGGGGCGGTCGCAGCGGCCCGGCCAAGGTCAGAGCCAGCTTCTCCGGAGACAGTCCAGCCCTGCCCTCAGCAGGGAGGTGAGCACTGCCAGCCTGCCCTGGGCCCCTGCACTCCAAGGGGCAAGCCACTGCTTTGCCCCTCCCCCAGGTGCCAGGCAGGGATCCTGGGAAGGGAGGTCCTTTATGAAAGGGTCAGGGTCCCAGTCATGGGTATCCAGCTTCCCCCTCTCCCCAAAAGCCAGCAACTCTTGGCAAAATTGAGAAGAACCCCAAATTAGTCCTTTGAAGATGGCCCTTCCATGCTGTTTCCTTCCTTCCTTCGTTAGGTAGCTGCTCTCCTGAGTTTTCAGGGAAAGACGCAGACTCAGCAGTCCAGCTCGGAGGGCTCTCCCTTCCAGTTCGGGGGTTTCTATTTTTAAAGAAACTCTTAGAGGGCCAGGCCTGAGCCTGTGGAGTGGAGTATTGGTGGTGGAAATTCGTGCACCTGATAGCCGGGTTGGAATCAATATCTTGGGGGGGGAGGAAGCCGGGAAATTGAGCAGCTCTTTGCAGATCTCTTTCTGGAACTGAGGAAAGTGGGTGAGGGAAGAGCAGACGCCCCGGGGAGGGAGTGCGGAGGCTCTAGGTACTTTCTGACCTGCTTTAATCCAGGCTGCTGTGGACACAGCTTGCCTCTCCCTGCGGCCTAGCCAAGAGCCCAGTTTCCTGAGCTCCTCCAGATGCTCTGGGCCATGGTCCTGGAGCCTCACCCGCCCCTCACCTCGCCCTCAGGTAACCGCACCCCTTGCGAAGCACGCAGAGCCTGCCCGGAGGAGGGGCCCTCCGGGCCGCGCAGAGCCCCCTCCTCCCAGGAGACCCGAGGGGGACCTGCGGCTCCAGGGCTCCTCGCAGCCCCCAAGGACATCAGCCAGGACCTCTGAGAGGGAGCGGCGGACGGAGAAACCTCCGGAGAGGGGCAGGGCGGGCCCAAGACAGCCTCTGGGTGGATGGCAGAGTCAGGAGGAGCCGCCAGGGTCCCGGGGCCCGCATAGACACCCCGAGAGAGGCTGGAGCAGCCAGGACGAGGGCCCAGGCCTGGCGGGCTGGCAAGAACTTGGGGAGCCCAGCCGTGGGGCTGCCAGGGCTCCTGAGGGAACATGGAGGGGCCCTCTCAGGGAGTCTGAGGAGAGCTGGGGGCAGTCAGAGGCCTGGGAGAAGCCCCCCAGTAATGGGTTGCAAAAGCCTCCCGACAGGCCAGCTCACAGGGGCCGGGGCACCCTGCAGGAGCTGTTCGGTCCTCACCAGCCCATGAGCTTCTCGGAGCACACCAAGGAAGGCCCAGCAGAGTTCTCGAATTCCTGGAAGCCTGAGACGGCCACTGTCATGGGCCGGGGAACTGAGGGAGCATGTCCGCACCTGCATGGCCCTGAGAGGCGACTCGAGCTTGACTGGAGGGACCTGGTGAGCCTTCTTGGGATACCCAGAGAGGGGGCCTGGGCCCGCACACAGGAGCCGATGCCTGCTTCCCGTCTTCCAAGCCTGGATTGGGAAGGCCTCCTGGAGCTCCTGCAGGCTCAGCTGTCCCGAAAGGACTCAGCTGGACACTGGGATGGCCCCATCACAGCTTCAGGGCCAGAGCTGGGTTCCCCAAGCACAAAGGATGCCCCTGAACGAGAGCGACAAGGCCAGCCTGCAGGCTGGTCAGAGGCCACCCTAGTCAATGGACACAGCCCCGGGCAGTGGCCCCAGAGCTTGGCCCAGCCGCACAGCCCTGCCTGCATCTCCACCCAGTGGCCACAGACCAAAGTGATGAGAGGACCAGAGGCCTCAGCTGTGGTTGCTCTGGAGGAGCTGGGCCAGCTGGGGAGCAGGAGCCCTGCAGAGGGCCCCAGCTCAGCACAGTGGGAGGTAAGTCAGTCTCATCTCTGAGGGGCAGCCTGAAAGTCAGCCTCACCCCAGACTTTCTAAGTGTCCTTAGAAAGGCCTCCTCTCAGCTCCTGTACACCCTCCAAAGCTCAGCCCTAATCTTCCCTTCTGACCAAAACCCTTCCCAGTAGCCAAAATGGATGGACATCAGTGATAGTGACTAGTCCTCCTGTGAGAATTCACTATGTGCTAAGCCCTGGTCTGAACGGCTTATGGGTATTTCCCTCATTTAATTTCCATAGCAACCTCATGAGAAAGGCACTGTTAATTTACAAATAAGGGAACTGAGACAGAGAGGTTAAGCCACTTGCCCAAGATTATACAGCTAGTAAGGGCTGGGGCAGACCCCAGGTCTGCTCAGTGCAGATCACCCTGAGGCCTCAAGCAAGATGCTCTGGCCAGGGCCTTCTCCCTTCCCAGCCCCACACCACCTGGTTTGTGTTGCCTTGGTGGCTCCTACCTGACCTCAGCCGGGACTGCAGCCAGTGTGGTCATGTCTCCTCCCCCTGCTGTATTCCAGGTTCCTCACAGTCCAGAACAGTCTTACTTAACCCTCTCTGGTCTTTATGGCCCCTTTCAGGCACAGTGAAGAGGTTGAATATGTTCATTGGGTTGAGTCGGCTGCTGAGACAGGTTGCTTAACTGAGGACCCATGTGCAAAGTAGGCTTAATGCGCACATAGTAGATGCTCACCAAGTTCCTTCCCTACCTTCTTGTCCGGGGGCAGGGTTATAGAATCAGTGGTATGCCGGTGCCGCCCGGAGTATTTATCTGAAGGTGATGGATGGGAGGGTCCAGGAGGCGAGAGCCCTGCATCCTGCCTCAGCTCCCCGGAACACAGCACGTGGTCTGGGACACCAGCCTATCTTGGCTCCAGTCTTCCCCTGTAAAACATGACCAACTCCTTCCCTGACAGGTACCACTGGGGTGATGCAAGGCTCCTGCTCTTTCATCTGACACGCCTCCTTTTCTCGATGTGCAGCCCAGCACTTCGTCCCCTAGGGATAGCAGGAGGGATTGCGGTGTGCGGGGTCCTGGGCTGGATGCTTTACATGCTTCGTCATGTACAAGGCTCAGGCCCATTAGGCATTTGCCAGTGGTCATGCTTGTATAAGTCGTATAGGCTCCAAAGCCCAAGCTTTTTTATTTATTTATTTTTATTTTTTTCTAAATATATCTTTATTGATTTCAGAGAGTGGAAGGGAGAGAGAGAGAGACAGAAACATCAATGATGAGAGAGTCATTGATCAAGCCCATTCCCCGGGCATGTGCCCTGACCCGGAATTGAACAGCAATATACTGGATCCTAGGTTGATGCTCAGCTGCTGAGCCATGCCCAGCCGGGACCATGCTTTTTTAAAAAATTAATTTATTTTAATAAGTTTTTTTATTTTTAAAAAATATGGTTGTTGTTGTTTTTTAATTTCAGAGAGAGGGAGAGCGAAAGAGAGATAGAAACATCAATAATGAGAGAGAGTCTTTGATCGGCTGCCTCCTGCACGCCTCCTACTGGGGATTGAGCCTACAACCCTGGTAAGTGCTGTGACGGGGAATCAACCCATGACCTCCAGGTTCATGGGTCAATGCTCAACCACTAAGCCACACCAGCTGGACCAAAGCCCAAGCTTTTAACCACCATGTTGTGAGGCCTCAGAGCCCACAGCAGGACTACAGAGTTCCCTCCCCTGTGTTTGTGGCTTTTGTTCATTTGTTTTCTAATCAACTCAATGCACAGACACCAGAGATGCAGGGATAAGCCAGTATGGTTCTGTCCTCAGGACAAAGAGGGAATTTGGGGTCCTCACACAAGGAGCTGCTGTCAGCCTTCTTGGGAAGGCAGGTGGACCACAGGCAGCTCAGGGAGGGTACGATGCTATGTCCCAGTGAACTCTGGAATGCCAGGTCAAAGGGAAGAGGGAAGGCAGAGATTCTTCAGCTGGAGTTACTCCACGGTGAGGCTCAGGGGTCCCTGGGGGTTAGATGGCGACTGGGGAGGGGCGGGAGCACCACAAGCTTAAGGGCATTTCTATACACACACACACACACACACACACACACACACACACACACACACACGGGCATTTCCACAGATAACAGGCATTCACCAGGTCCTGCTGGGGCCCCAGCTGCTCACCCTCTATGAAAATCCTTGGCACGGCATCCAAGGCCTCCTGGCCTTCCTTCCACCCTAGATTTGCCCTCTAATAGTTGGGCTGAGCTGGCTGCAGAGCTCTGTGAGCACATCTCCCTGCCTTTGTGCATGATGTTCCCGTTGCCCAGGAAGCTTTTCCTTTCCCTCTTCACTCACTAAATGCCTGTTCATTGTTCAAGTCTTAGATCAGGTGCCCTGTTCTGAGACACATTCCCCTGTTGGTGATGTCTCCCTTCTAGGCTTGGTGGTTCTGCTGCCTCTATCTGGTCATACTCAGTTGTCATTTCCCCATAAGAAACACGAGCTCTGTGGGGGCAGGAGGTGTACCTGCTGTATCTCTGTACCCCTGGCCCTTGGCCCAGGGCCTGACACAGTGGAGGAGCTCAGCTCAGTGGATCAGTGAATACATGGATGCTTAGGTGCACACACGAAACTGATGGAAGATGGGTGGGGCAGTGGGTAGGTGATGGACAAGTGATTGATGATGGGTGTGTGACTGGGCGGTAGATAGGGGATATATGCTGGACAAGTGATAAACAGATGCTGGATGGATGACAGATGGGTGGAGAGACAGATAGGTGATGAATGTAATAGATGTTGGGTGGATGGATGTTGCTTAGATGATGAGTGGGGTGATGAATGGATGGAGGGATGGATGTTGTGGAATATGGATGATGGATGGTGAATGAATGTCAGATGGGTAGATGGACTGAGGAAGGATGTATGGGTGTAGGATGATGGATAGATGAGTACAGGATGGATGTATAGATGGGGAAATGGATCTTAGATGAGTGGATGGATAATGTAGGATGTGTGTTGGGTGGTTGGATGGCTACATGGATCTATTGATGTTTGACCTAGATGGATGTTGGATGGAAGATGAATGGATAAATAAGGTGGATAGATGGATGGAAATTGGGAATAACCTGGACTAAGCTGTGTTCTTTCTTATTTCCAGTTCCAATCAGAGGAGCCTGAGGAGTCAGAACCAAGAGGAGGCCGAGACTCCCTGACTGAGCAGAAGCGGGCAGACTCGGTAGTTGGGTCTTGGGTGTGGGCACATGGGGCAAGGAGTGAGGGGATGGGAAACCAGATTGGAGGTGGGCTGAAGTCCTCAGATGAGCTCTGGGTTCATGCAGACCAAGGTGGGTTCTGCAATGGAGTCATCTGCATGTATGTAGGGGCCTTGAGAAGAGGGGATCTGGTGGAGCAGGGAAGCAGAGCCACCTTCTGGCTTGGGGACTTGGGTGGGTAGACAATCCTAGGGTCAAGCCCAGGGCTCTGCTTTCAACTTGCTAGAATGCCCTGAAAAGGTAAGCTGGAATGCCTCCCCTGGGCAAATAGCAGTTTGGCTGCAATGGTCTCTGAAGGCAAAGTCCTTCTGGTTCTGGAGGTCTGCCAGGCTGGGAGAAAGGGTAGAGCTTCCAGGAGCTGGAGCCAGAGAAGCACTGAAAGGGGCCAAAGAAGTGCCACAGTCTGCCAGGTCTTGAGCATCTCCAGGATCCTGGGGCAGGACACATGTGTGCAGGGGGTGGGACCCACTGAGGCTGCTCTGAGGCCTGGCTGCAGCTGGAGTGTGTTGCTTTGTCCTGCTCCTCCCCCTGACCTGCCAAACAGACTGTTCTCTTCACCCTCAGCCTCCAGAGAGGTGAGGTCAGAGCTCAGGGCCTGGGGCAGCAGCGGGAGGCGGGGAGGAGACCGGCTGTTTGGGGCTAGGAGCTCCTCACCCTGCTGTTCTGCTTTCCCATGCCGCCTCCTGAGAAGCTGGGTTTGATCGGGGTGTCTGTCTGGCAGCCTGGAGCCCCGACTCTGGCCCTGCTGCTTGTCAGAGCTGGGGGGATTCAGCCCAACCCCTCACTGTGCAGATGAGTAAACAAAGGGCAGGGGTGTTGTCCCAAGTCATACAGTTGATGGCTGAACTCAAACTAGAACCAGGGCTCAGAACCCCCACCCAGCGCTCTCTGCCCC